TTAGAAACTGATCGAGCCTTGCGGTTGCGGCTTCTGTGTTTCTTTCTGGATACCATTTTGAGGACGTGGGACAGAAGAAACTTTTTTCCTCGAGATTTTCGTGTGCACAGAACTCTTTGGAGACTGTTCTCCCTCCTTTGGTCAGTGCGAGTCATCTGTTTTCGAACTCACTTTAGTTTGCCTCACGCCAATTTGCGTGTCAACGGAGCGAGTACTTGTTGATGTGTCGCGACCACTCTTGCCAAAACATTTTTTAGCAGCACTAACCAAAGAAATGGCCTCGGTTAGCAAGCTGTTAGCATCCAAACAGCACTGTTGACAGAGCCATACGCAACCATTCCTACTGAACCGTTTGAAAGCTGCAGGCGTTAAATTTGGGCAAACTTCGTGGTACCATCCTTTGCACTCATCGCACTGCATGCCGCTTTCAACAGGATAACGACAGCCCAGGCGTTGGCAATTAATTTTTTTGCACTGTCCAATCATTTAAACACGGGTTTTTTTTAGAAAGAACTAGATGCAAAAATACTCAGGGACAAAAATAATCTATGACCAAAAAAAGTGGAAAGCTGTAGATCGTTAGAACCAAAAGTACTAACAGATACTATAGAAAAACAGAGTACTCAAAAGTACTGACAAAACTACTTTAGAAACAAAAACGATAATCTAATTGAATATTTTAACTTAAAGAAACTCAATTAAAGTTAAAAACAGTAGTTTTGATCCGTATAAACGATCAAAACAATAGAATTTATCCAGCGAGGAAAAATACCACTGTCCCTTTTGAATAGGCTGAATTTGAATTGTATTTTTGTTCACCCCTACGCCAATTGTTATGTTTGTAAGAGAGGGAGAAAACGAATTGGCGATCGACATCCCTGCTCCATCCAGTCCATCTCACTCTAGCTCGGGACGACAGAATAAAGCAAATCCCCCTGCTCCTTGCTGACAATGTGGTGCATGGCACTACGTTCAAAACTGCCCATTTAAGCAACATCGATGCAAGAAGTGCAAGGTTATCGGTCATAAGGATGGGTTTTGTCTGAGGAAGAAGAATCCAAGTCAATCCAGAAATAACAAAAAGACCCTTCCTAGATCCCGCACTAGTTCTTTGAGCTTAGTATCTTCATGTCAAAGCTCATCACCAGGTGAGAGAAAATTTATTACTGTTAATATTAATGGGCACTCATCTACAGTACAGATAGATACTGCATCAGATGTCACTATCCTCTCACGTAAGATTTGGACTAAAATGGGCAGCCCAAGCCTACAGCCTACAATGCAAAAGCCTCGTACTGCGTGTGGTAATTACCTTCACCTGCTTGGACAAATGGAATGTACAGTTACTTTCCATGATTCGGCGTTTGTTGGGGTGTTACATAACACCAGCTGATCTAAATCTACTCGGGTTAGATTGGTTCGATCAGTTAAATTTAGCTGATGTCCCGTTGAATACTATATGGAAGACCACGCCGAATGTTATCTGACGACTGCAATACGAGCTTTGCCGGTATCTGCAACCGGCATACAAAATGCTTCTAAGAGCGACTTCATCATCAAGATGACTATGAGCTATGTCACCAACGGTTGGCCGTTTAAGAAGTTTGATGGTGACATGAAACAGCTGTATCAGCGGCGGGATTCGTTGAGCATTGTAAACGACTGCTTGATGTTCGGAGAAAAAGTGGTTGTGTCAGAATACCTTCGTGCAAAAGTGCTGAAACAGTCCCATCTTGGTCAGCCAGGGGTTAGACGAATGAAATCCATAGCCAGGAGTCATGCATATTGGCCATAAATGGATCAACATATAACAGAATTGGTTGGAAAATGTATGCGATGTCAGCAAGCGGCAAAAGTGAACACTAAAGTTCCACTAGTTTCATGGCCACAACCTGATCATCCTTGGTCCACGATACACGTCGACTTTGCAGGCCCGATTAACGGAACCATGTATCTAGTTGTAATCGACGCCCTTTCGAAATGGCCAGAAATCAACCCTATAATACCGCCAACGACGACTAAAACAATACAAATCCTCACAGAAATTTTCTCCCGAAATGGTATACTGGATGTCATTGTATTTGAAAACGGTTCACAGTTCACCTCCAGCCAGTTCCAGTCATTTTGTCAACGGCTATCCATAAAGCGCTTACGGTCGCCACCATATCACCTGCAGTCGAATGGGCAAGCAGAAAGGTTTGTGGATACGTTTAAAAGAGCTTTGGTTAAGACAAAAGGGGAGGGGACGCCAGCGGACACGTTGCAAAATTTCTTATACGTGTACCGAACAACACCAAATGAGACGTTGCCGGAGCGAAAGTCCCCGGCAGAGATCCTAATGGGAAGGAAATTGAGGACGATCCACAGTCTTATATGCCCAAGAACCACACCGCCACCACCTCAGACCAGATCTCAGAAGCTGCTAGCATACGAGGATGGATGCCGGTGTTCGCTCGAGACTACCGAGCAAACCACAGTCCTTGGATCGAAGCATATGTTGGAAGATCAGGCCAAGTTATGTACGACGTAAAAGTGGGAAGAGACATATGGACAAGACACAGAAACCAACTACGGAAGCGGATAACCCCAAACCGCCCATCAACGGGAGCAAATCTCCCTCTTGACACCTTCAAATTACCAGCAGCCCCACCACGAGAAGCTCAACAAGAAGCTGATCCCCGTTCCAGGTGGCCTACTTGACAGCTGCGAGCAACGGTCAGGATGCAAGTCGACCCCAGAAAAGTGCGTTACTAAAAAGGGGAGGAGTGTTGGGGACGATAGGTCCCCAAAATTGTAATTTTATCTTGTGGAGCTTGTATGCAGATGTATACGTGGGCATTTCTTACCACCCACGCACATAGTTGATTGACGAACTATCGATTAAATGTTTAAAAGCTCCATGGCAATATCGATATATATATATATATATATAATTTGTATATATACGTTATTGAAATTCTTGTAAAAAAAGAGAACCGCTCGTTTCTGGTTGCTGCAGAATACACTTCTCATTCCGAGCCTGGACTTCTCCCTCTAGATAGCTGAGACTGGGACGCCTCATTAGCTAGCTCACTGGTCGTTAGTCACCGAATCCTCGTTCTCGTTCACAGACTACGTGAACCCGTGATAGCAGCTCTTTTCAAATCCTAACAGAGCTAAATAGTCTAAGTACTAATTATTCAGGTTCAAGTTTGGCCCTCATACTAAACTATTGATATCCACTATACTCTGTGGGTTGTGGAGAACTACAACCAACATTTAGATCGTGGATGTATTAAGTATCTGTATTCGGAGAAATTCTGGACTACTGCCACACTTATTACATTTAAACAATTCATCGTTGTAAATAACTGAGGCTTTCATGTCACGCGTTATTTGCCGACAACAAGACGGTCAGAAAAGTGGATGTTGCCAGTTTATATGGTGGGTTAGAGGTAACTGTATATATCTTCCGTGACGTCACGACTACGCGGTCGAAAGTCGTGAGAGCGTTTTGGACACAGACACCATTAGATATAGGTCCAAACAGAAGCTACTGTGGATCCTAATATTTTTTCCTGCTGTTTTTTCTTATAAAAACGAGATGAATTTCCTTAACTAAATGATGCTTTTCTTGAATGCGTACTTGACTGAACTGTATTTTTTATTAAATAATATTGTTCAAATACTAGTCTTTTAAAATGACGGGGATATTTAAACAATCATTAATCTATTGATTACATTATCTTTCCCCCAAATGCCCTGGTACGGCCGAGAGTGGGGAGAGTCCGCTCTCCCTCTCGAAATGCTCTCACATGGCCACGCGTATATAGCTTCTGCCAGGGAAGTCCTACTCACTGCCTTCACGTGGCGGGGGTGTTGCTTACGAAAATGAAAGGACGAAAAGCGAATGTCCGGCGCTTTAACCGGATCCCAAACCAATGGTGCACATGGGCTCCAGTATCCTGAAGGAACAAATGGTCTATGAACCAATCGTTGGTCACCGGCTACCATGGAACTGCATCTCCTTACGATGCTCCACTGCCTTGTGGATCAGACGTTCAGGTCCAAGGCTCGGGGTGTGGCTCCCTAAGAAAACCATGTGGTTCGGTTTGGGCACCCAGGCAGTATCACAGCCCTCACACAAATCAATTGAGATTATTGTGGCGCATATGTATTTGGTGCCTCCTTGTACCAATACCTATATGTTAAAATAAAAATAAAAATATGTTCTACTTCTTCAAAATAATATTTTTGAGTCAAACAGTTTGGTGCCCTATGTATCACGATTTGCTTTTAATAAATAGTAGAACATTACAAAACTTCATAGTTCTACTGGTTATATGAACTGACCACTTCTTGAAAATGAATATACATAAATCTTCTAATTCGGACGAACATTCATTATCAGATATCATAAGTATTTTACGAATGACTGCAAACATAAATATGAAAATAAAAAATATATATGTAATATCCCAATGAGTAGAAAAATTAGATTTTATGACGTTTCGTAACTTAGTGTAAGCCACTTCAGAGAAGAACAAATAACCAAATCAAAATTAATTCAGTTTTAAATAGTATTCCGTTGTACTATTTAAACTTGAAATAATTTTAATTTGGTTATTTGTTCTACTCTGAAGTGGCTTACACTAAGTTACGAAACGTCATAAAATCTAATTTTTCTACTCACTGGCATAATACAAATATATTATTCTTATTTATAACAATCTATCCAATGTTCAATTTATTAGAAATTATCAAATCAAACCTTGGTAATGATACCTATAAATATGAAAAGATTTAATTTCTCACATTAAGATTATTAATAATAGTTAATACAAAAAACAGTACTGTTAAAAAATAAAATTTTTTTGAAGATTAATTTTTGAAAAAAAACAGATTACTAAATGATAATTTACTTGAAATAAATAAATGGATGGTATCATCACAACTCCCTATAAGCATATGGATTTATACAAGTTAGTCATAATGGGATATAATTACAGCCTAATTACACATCACAGAAACCGAATATAAAAATATGTGAAAACTACTAATAACAAGATGCAAAACAATATGTATTTAACGTAGGCCGATTGAAGGTTGAGTGAGTGGGCATCTTGACGGTATTTCTTGGACATAGTAGACAAGTTGGATGCTCGAGAGTCTAAGGCTACAAACGATTTTAGATAAAAAATAAAAGAGTACTTAGAGTAACTCTGTAAAATACTTTTGACTAAAATAATTCAATTTCAAAGCGATATGAAAAGCATTGCCTAAGAAAATAATAATATACTTTAAACATTTCACAAATTAGCGACAGTGTGATGGACGCTACTCATAAGATTGCCTGTAAGTAGTATTTAGCGGAACGTGGCCTCAAGGGTATCAGTCATCAGGTGGAGAAAGAAAGATCTGTACATTAAAAGCACAAGTTAGGCAGAACACTTGGAGACCAAACGAGAAGACATTTTGGGTTGGGGAACACAAAGCAAGATTCAAATGGATGACAGAAGGCTATATACACGTATTATGTAAACACTGTAATCGCTCACAATAAACATTCATTCCTTCTACCCACTGTCTTGTTCTACAACATTATCAGTTATTCTTGAAGAAAATAGTTGAATCCCCGATTCAACAAATCCCGCCGCTGAGAGACGCATCATCACTACGTAATGGTGACTCCCTATAATGCTTTTCCTCCTGTTTTTTATGACGAACGTGCCCCATCAATTTAAACGTTTAACAAAAATGTTCGGTGGCAATGGTCACTAAAATGTTAAAATGATTTTAGCAGGATTAAAATAACTTCTGAGAATGAGAATAAACGTTCCTCACACCGTAAACGACTGTTACATAGTAATGTTACTTATCAACGTGAAACCACGTCTAAATCAAGCTACTTAAACGAACCGGGATTTAACAGGGTACGTAGATCTGATTTATATTCTCAATCAATAAACAAAATTTGTCTCCAAGTTTAGAAGAATCCCATAACAAACTGAACCACGTAAAACGCTTCAGAGTTTCCTGAAGCATCTAAAGATCTAGGTTACCGAACAAGAACTCAAGCAACTTTGCAATTGAAGCCAGATAAGACATGTTTTGCCTGACACACCTATTACCTTGCATCACAACTGCCTAAGTTGACGTAGAAAACAAAATACCATGTAAAGAACAATTTATATTATTGAAAAATAGCACTTTATACAGACTCACTTTTCGGTAATTAGAGATCATAAATAAATAATAATTATTGTGTAAAATCCTTCTTTGCTGAATATATCTCAACGTTGAGTGAAATATATTACAAAAAATATCAGAATATTGCACTAAGATAACTAAGAACAAAATTTTAGCCATTTTATTTACCAAAGGGTTGACAATTTTCAATTAAAGAATATGCACTAGTTACAACATAACCGAACTTATTAACTCTGACTGTACATACGATAATGACCATTTAGTCAACTAACTGAACAGGTTGCTTCGAAATATCTTTAAAATTCAGTGTTACTGTGTGGCGCAATGATGCTAAATTTTATTGCAACACTGATAACTAATTCTTGAAGCAAACACATGCGATTACCAATGGTTTGATAAGATTAAATAATTGGTTATATGAACAAGAAATGCAGTTTCCGAAAATTTCCTTAACATTTTATTTACATATTAGGTGCCTACGTTGAATAGTAATCTGTTCAATTACCATATGACGTAGGTGAATAAATTTAAATAGCTTGAGCAGCTAGAAGCGTACTTCATCGAATCTGAACTCACTTGAAAGTGCTTCACCACGTTGTAATACATCATCAATATTCTGTACCATGATTCTTTGCACGTCTTGTAATGCTACGTTCAATTGACTAAGATTGGATGACCGACTATCACTATAGATTTTTTGAGTTTTGTGTATGACGTGATCTAGTAAAATAAACAAGGTAAAGCAACAAATTTACCAAAATCAAGAAATGCGTAAGGTCTTGAAACTGTTTGTATTTGTTGGTAGTATTTGCCATAAAATTCTGTTTGTATAGCCTCTAAAAATGCAAAGGCTTTTGTACGACTGAACTGTGAGTCTGTAAGAATAATGTAACAAACACCACGATCCAGCAGATAATGAAACAAGTAAGGACCAGCAATAAGTGAGCATCTAGAAGGAGAGGTAGGAGTCATACGACAAACGAGTGCCTTTGCTTGATTTTGATACTGGAATATTTCACGATTTAGCTGAAATAAAACGAGACAAAATATAAAAAGATTGTTTTAAGAGCACAATGGAAAGTATCACCCCCATGTAATTTAAACTCAATTGAATACATAAAAATGATTTTTGGATAGCTTTGTAACTAACAAACAATTAAATGGAAGTGGATTAAACACAACTTTAGATTGTCACTATATAATAAAGAGGAATAGAGCTATAATGGGTAGAAGATTGAGATCAACTGTTTAACTTTACTTTTACAAGTCAGATATAACAGTGAGCTTTTACATCTGCTTGCACGATTAAATGAGCAATTAGTTGCACTGTTTTGGTAAAGACAGGACTGAAAATTCACACATAGTGTAAAGGAAATAAGAATCTCATACGAAAAGTAATAAATAGCAAAATGAATAAACATTTAAAATAATAGTAAAAGTATCAGGAGCCAATATCATCATTAGTTAACTTACAGTATTCAACATTACAGTACAGAATCTACAATAACGATGTCTAGTACTCTCTTTGGCGATAGATGCTGCTACTAGGCTTTCCCACAGTTCACATAACGCTCACCGTCTACTGAGGCTTTATGTAGACTACAACTTGTTTCTGAGCAGATACGACTTTCAGTACGGTCATCATCGATAAGCCAACTGGTGTCTTACCTCTGCGACTCAAGCCTGAACTCATATTGGCCACATAGTGATTAGCTTCAGCTGGCACAAGACTGTTGCTTCCCTTAGAGTATCTTTATGGATTCTGATAATGTTTTGATTTACACCAAGCTTATCTTGCGTTTTAGCGATCAGCAAATGTATTGTCCTAAATAAGTCAATATAAGCGAATAGGTCGTAGCTTCCTCTGCAGCCAAGTAAAAAACAAAGTCAAGTTTAGAGTAATCTGTAATTCCATCAGAAAATGAAAAATGCGTATCGCGTTTGCATAGTGTCATAAAAATAGCGGGTTATATCTGATGGCCTTTTGAAACGTCTTGCTTATATGCACCGAATTTCTGCAGATTAGTCACAGTTACTTGAAGTATACCATTGTTCTCCATTGAATCGAGAGTTTGATGACAAATGTGGATTTTTAAGTGATGCAAACTCGGCGTAAGGACAGAGACCGGTGACGACTGATACAAATAACGAGATGGAGGCCCTCAATGTAATAGGTCGTTTTCTTTGTGCATGGTTTTATTAAGATGCTTATCTTTTTACTAGCCCTCAACAATTGCCAACTGCCATTTAAAACTATTATCTTTCCCATCATTTAAATTTTGGCTGACAATCACTACTCACCGTTATTGCATAAGTACTTGGATAATTTATATATAGGTGACTCTCGTTACCAGACAAGATAATTTTTGCTGTACATTCCTTGAGTTGGTCACTGAATGAAATAAGTTTTTCAGACGCCTAAAATGATCACTCGCACTTGTCAAGAGTAGGTGGCACTTTAATGTATTGTTTAGACCTGATTATTGTCAATATCCAACTAAGACAAGTTGGTCGAAACATTTATTAGCTGAGTATGTATTATTTATTTTATTATTTTAACACATAGATATTGGTACAAGGAGGCACCAAATACATATGCGCCACACAAATCTCAATTGATTTGTGTGAGGGCTGTGATACTGCCTGGGTGCCCAAACCGAACCACATGGTTTTCTTAGGGGGCCACACCTCGAGCCTTCGACCTGAACGTCTGACCCACAAGGCAGTGGAGCATCGTAAGGAGATGCAGTCCCCTGGTAGATGATAACTAACAATTGGTTCATAGACCATTTGTTTCCTTAGGATCCTGGAGAACATAAGCACCATTGGTTTTGAGTCAAAATTTTCCAACTCCCCTAGGTGGACCCTCCGTGTCTACCAACCCCGTCAAAACGCCGGACATTCGCTTTTCATCCTCTCAATTTTGTAAAAGACACCCCGGCCACGAAAAGGCAGTAAGTAGGACTTCTCTGGAAGTGGCTGTATACGCGTAGCCATGTGAGAGCACTTCGAGAGGAAGGACGGACTCTCCTCACTCTGGGCCATACCAGTCAAAAGCAATGAATTTCAAGTTCGAAGATGCAGATGTTAATGCAACTAATTTAACAAATACAGATTTATGAACAAGGCATCATGCGACACTTGGTGTGAAGGTTATCTGTGACCATATATTTCGGGTCAAATATGTCCTCGCGCATTTTCCAACAATTGAGTTTAGAACTCATTAGAAAACAGGTAGAATGTAACCATTGCTTTTAAAATCTGTCTAAGGACTAGATAATACATCTATGTTACCAAGCACTTATTAGTTCTACAACAAATCCCTTGTTCTGAATATTACCAGTGCATATAAGTATCAAATTAAACCACTCCTACCTTACTAAGAATATGTTTGATATGTAGGCATGAACAAAACTTGCACTTCTGTACTTTTCCCTGGTCTATATATAATAGATATTTCATAGACATTTTAGCCTGATGATCTAATCTGGTAGCAAATGTTGTGACAAACCTACCTGGAGTATGATGAACAAACACCCAGTTAACAATTATCATCAGAACATTTCAGTTGATATCATTTATAGCATAACGGAAATTTTCACTGGTTTGCCTTCAGTACAAACGCCGGAGCCCTAAACATTCACTAGACTTGAACAAACTACTATGACGTCTCCCTTTACCACATTCTCTTATCTTCCGTATTAGCTGATATGTTTATTCAGTTTAGTTCTAACCAGATGATAATCAAAACCTTCCGTATTTTTTCTTACTTTCAGTTACTTTGATGGTTTGAAGTAGCTTTTTCGTGGGTTTAAATCATAAATTGCATTATGTCCCGTACCAGATTTTAATAACATCCTATAGTCAGATACAATTTCGTGTACAGAGTTCCGAACCATGTCTGATGTGGGCACTAAGCATAGTAAAGGTCAACTCTAACCACGGTAGCTAGTGAAGATTAATTGGTTAGAAACAATACACCATTTAAGGTGGCCGAGACGTTATACAACTATAGTCAATATTTACCCCCAAGAAAATTTTAGAAAGTGCAGGACAAATGCATTAAGCCCGAACAAAAGTACAATACCAAGTTAGGAAGTATTCTTGCCAAGGTTTTGCAAAGCCATTCCTGACAATAGCATACTGTTTTAGGAACCAAATACACATACATATATGTACTTACAAGGCGCGAATTTAATCTTAGGGAAGGCGTTATGATGGCACAAATTTACAAAGTATTTGGACTTCTACAAATATTAAGTATTTCACTAAGTTATTTTGAACATCTGATGGAAAGTAGGACATGAATCAACGTGAGACTAACTTATTATAATAAACAGACGAATCCCAGAAACATATGAAAGACAGTTGGGAAGATAATGTTTTTGTTGAAGTTTTCGGGAATGAGTCTACTTTCCCACAAAAACGTAAATTATTTGGTTTCAGTTAAGGTTTAGAATTCTAGCTATGATTTAATTTTGATATATCCCAACATCGTAACCATTTGTTGAGTTAGAAAATATCGAGCCGTTAGATTGCTTTACCTTGTTTTCTTAGTAATTATGATTATCTTAGTGACGTCAGTCTCTGATTTTGTCTATAATCTATAATAAAATCGTAACTAACAAAAAACGCACGGATTTAAATGAATAAAGCGACTAGTAATATTCAGCAGACAGGTAGTTCTTACTTGGTCATCATCCTGAATAGTTGCTGCAAGTGGGAGCCCATCGGCTACCCTAGCGATCAGAGTAAGGTATATCATGAGAAATTTGACTGGAAAAGTTGTGCAAGAATAGATTATGGGAGGTACCAGAAGTCTTGCTTTGATAACTCCTTAAAACAATATGGATGGAAACACCAAATGATTTTGTGTATAAGACAAGTATCTATACTCTTTTACCGGTAGGAAGCGTTCAGAAATTCAAATACGTACACGTGGAGCATTTAATAAGCAGCTAGTGACCTTGTAAGGTCTATGCTCTCAATAAACAATATCTTTGTGATGAGCATGTCTGAGTCTATTGACTGCTCTGAACTTTCTTCTTGACTTCACACTATAGTTCTGGGTCTTCAGTTCAGTTTAATGTGGGCGGCCTAGCCACTTGGTTGCATTGATTTTAATGAATTCAATTTTTACTTAATTAATATTTTTTAAGTGTACGACTGTTCTTGAGCAATGGGGTTACTAAGACCATTAACTATCGTATTACCAGATAGAATTTTGGTCCTCTAGCGTGCTAAGGACTGTAATGTTACAATGTAAAGGGGCGAAGAGCAGACAACAGTACTAGTAAGGGAATAGCGTACACAAAAAATGTGAAGAAGCAAAAGTCTTATCGTACCACATAGATGATGTTGACGAGGGATGAGGTGATCAAATATGGGCCAACAATAATGGTAACAGTACTGATAACAGCAGTAATGGTATGATATAAAGCACATAACAGGTACAGTTGCTCTTGATGAAGGACGGTGTGGCATGGATGAGTGCATGATTAATGAGTCTGCTTTCTAAAATTGTCCACCGAAGGACAATTGTCACGTGGGATTGAAGGAGCCTACTAACTTTGAAAAAGACTATGATAGCGACTTTGCATTAGCTCTTCCATGTGCAATTTTGGTACAAGTTATTCGACCTTGTTAGTAGTTCCTTCATCAAGAAAAGAGATAATCTGTAAATCACATTTGGGTGATTTCAGCCGATAGAGCAGAGTGTACAAAAAATTAAACGGCCAGAGAAAGTTCAGGAATAAAACGAGTATATGAATTTTCTGATCCTAGCAATATGTCTAACTGTCCCACACCAATGAAGCGTCTGTGAAACACTGTCTGCCTTTTCTGAAGCCATATTGCTCATCATATCTGTCTTATTGTCTACTGAACTTACTATCCTACAACAGATTCCATTCATTTTGTCTTCTTCAGTGATCAAGGGAGACAGGATTTTTAAATTCCATTCATTCCATTTTAGAGTCATATGGGTGAATAAAAAGGTCTCGTGTTCAATTACAAGGGATTCGACACATATAATTTACCATGTGTTGTAACAACTCAGCGGCTCATCAGATTCAAGTTTTGATAACTTTCTTAGTGCTAATAGCCGTGATGTTACTAATATACTGCTCCTTCATATTGTCCTTTAAGTAAAACTTCTTTTAACTCTGTAACCCTGTATATGATTTGATCTCTTGGTAAAGTGGGTTTTGAGAACTTTGGCTATCTCAAGGTCTGATACTCGTTTCTTCCCCGGAACGTTACAGATAAAGGTAGGTTGGATATAACTATAGCTCTCTAGCCAGATTTGTCTAAAAAGACTTATTATCCCCCTTTTTCCTTATTTTGCACTTATTACTTAACATGTGCTGGTCATAGTCGAGCTCTCAGTGATGCCCGTTATCTGTTCCAACCATTTCTCTTCGTCTTAAGTAAACGCTCGGTGCCTCCTTTTGTCTAGAATGTTCCGTTCCCTAGATATTTCAACCCTGTAAGTGATCATCACGATGCCTCGTTTTTCATTAACTGTAAGTCTGAAACCGAATATCATATTGATGTAACTATCTCGTGACCATGTAATCTGTCCTGTGAGGTGCCTTACTTAAGAACACAGTAAATATTACTGTGACGCGGCTGCAAGTCTCTCTTTGACGCTCAGACGTTGACACTTACTACTTCAAGCAGGTCATTTGACAGAAGGTAGTCTAGTCTTGAGGGGGTTCTATCATTCTCTGATTGCATGGCACTGTTTAAATGTTCTGCCAGTCCAGTACTTTAGATGACCGCAGCAAGTTACTTGTGAAATAATAATATTGGTGTCAGGCTAGCTGACGGACTTTTACTTCACTTCGTGGACACATACCAGAACTACAAGCAAGACTGATTGAATACCATTCATTCCTCCGCGTTAAATACTGAATATCTATTTTCCCAGTTGTCTCGTGTTCGTCTTTGACGATTGTGTGGTTATGGCCCAATTCCACTACAAATCACTCTACACATGACTGAAGAGCATGTCCTATAGAGATTAATCGAGATTAGTTATTGTTACGTTGGGCTTGTTGTTATCACTATGTGTAAGTCGTTGAAAGAAATTGCTGGGGTATGGAAACGTTCAGTGGATTATTCCAATCATCACTTTAATTTTTTTATATCTTTCTTTAATAAAATTGGGAAGATTCAAGTCAAATCTATGAGTCGATGAAATCCTTTGACATCTTTGGCTTGTTTAACTTGATCAGACCCAACTTAGCTAAACAACTACACGTGTAGTGACCGAATTACCAATATTTGGGTTGAACACAGAACTGATAAACACAAATTTGTTCGACCAGACCAGACTACGTTCTTCTGTATAGTGTACAAAGTGTTTCCGAGTTACTTGTATTAAATTATATGGAGACATAAACTCTTCGCCCATTTTGAACGGTTATAATTTAAGAACGAGAACAAATTATATAAAAAAATACAAAATGCCTCAAACAGTACAGCCTGTGCTATACAGTCAAGAGTTTCTCTAACATAAATTAGAGTGCTAAACGACAAGGCAAATAGTTAATGCACAAGAGTTTAATACCTTAAAATGAACAAAAAAGGTATCGCCAACAAAATGTGGTCAAATATCTTTCTGAATGGATTCCAGCAATCCTCACATGCAGAGTCAAGGGTAAACAGTCACACACTGAACCACGCCGTGATCTTGAGCTAAGTCAAACACCACATTATTATCACATGCAACGGAAAAATTAAGTAACGAATAATATGTCTTTACCCAAAGTCACATCATAAAAGCTCACATGATGAAGACCGAAGAACACAAATTGTCGTTAAAAGAGATCTGGATAAAAGTTAAAATACACGGCAAGCGGAAGAAATGAATAAAGGATAGTACTGTCCGATGAAATGTTGTGGAGGGATTTTCGACGTTTTTTTCTATTACACTACCCCTGTCCCTCACCGTTGACAAAAGTTACAAAACACACGAAAATTCAATGTCCAACCCCACTAGAACTCATTGAATAATTCTGAACAGAGTACTTTGATTTGAAGAAAAAAATCGGCAGATCAACAAATGAACGACAATGGATTCATTGATACCGGAGTTTATCGTAAAAGCAAAGACAGTGACCAGACACTTTGATTTTACCAGTTGTCAACCTGAAAATATAGATTCTTCAACTGAACGACAATCTCATTCCATTAAACAGGATAGGCAGGATAATGCTTGTAACTTTATTAACAGCATCTTTAACAACTCAAAATTCACAACAGAGAAGGAATCCAAGGACAAACTTTTATTCCTGGATGCACCTATCAAAAAATATTAACAGGGCACCCCGTAATTTAGTCACACTTAAAGTCACTTGCACAGAATAGGCCCTTAAGTAAATTATTCAGAGCACAAAATACAGTAAACTTACGACCCAGATAAATCGAGGAATTCATGTAAAGATTACCTTTCGAAAGGACGGATGTCTGTGGAGCTTTGAAAAACATCGAACAAATCTATCGGTAAAAACAGAATTAAATATGGAAATCAACAACCTAGCCATCCTACCACATCTAAAAAGCCAGACAATGTTGTCGATGAAATCAATTGTCATGGCTGTAATGCAGCCTGTTTGAGAGAAACATCTAGACAGTTGAATTAGAAATCAGAAGAATACAAACAGTGTTTGAAACGCGATCCAGCACCACTGATTGATCTAAAGAAACTTCAGATGAGTTAGAAATAAGACACACGGTCTAAGACAAAGGACCAAAGTACTTCAGGAGGGGTGTCGCACTCAAGAAGAAAGATTGACAGTAGAAGCTCTGTGCTTATGGCTTAACAAGAACAGCCTGCACAGAAAACATGGCATTCATTTTCTACATCTTGGCAAATGATCCCTATTCAACCTGTTTATTTTATGTCCTGTTATCCTGACAAAAATCGGCTTGATTGTTTCAGATATAATTTTCACAAATCATGAGATCATAAATTATGATGAGATTATTGAGGCAGTTTTGTAGTAGGCGTAGTACATTGACCATAAAAGCAGTTCAAGCAACCCTGTAAAAATCAAAGGATGGCTTTAAAATACGAACAACGTCTACAAAATAAACTTTTCCACCACATCGGTAAAAGTGAGTACCCCCTTTCATCTTTTCGTGCATGAACGGAAGCTTCTGGTCAGCCCCCATGATATACATTTGTTCATATCAATGTATGTAGACAACTGTGTACACACAATCGATTGAGAATATCTTGAAATCTTGAATAAACGGAATATAGAGATGGCAGAATTTTTAGAAGTTTGGCACGCAGATGAACTAGTAATCAATAACCACATCAAAATCAACAGTTTGTCAGCTGACCAAAAAAGTCGTGAAGAAATATGGGACCAAGTATCATGCCAAAGGGAGAAATTATCAAAATATATATGCAGACAATGACAAGCTGAAAGTCAATAATGAGTAATCTTGGTCAGTGTCGACAAGATATGCCATCAGTTGTATGTGGAGTTATTCGAATACCTTATTTTATCTGTAGTTTTACTCTAATGAGTTCGTGCAGAAGAAGAATAGAGGTTTCAAGATTGAAACATTCTGTTCTCAGGATGATACTTTACTACAATCACTTACCTGAGCTGTTTAGTTCCTTCACCATTTGGAAGCCCTGCATATCCGAGTGGTTTATCAAGTGGATGCGGAATTCGCAACAATCAGGAATAAATCAGATAACATTGGCCTGAAGATGTCTTCAAGATTTGCTATTGCGTTTGGTTTTCAGCAAACAAAGGCACACTCAATGTTGTTGTGTCGGGCGGCATAATTAATTTGATGGTGAAACCTCTCGGCGGACTAACTGAACGAGAACACAAAAGTGTATTGTGCTACCGACCGAAATGTACAAATACTCATTCATGTACATACCACTCTAATCCACAAGGAATCGATCCAATTTTTTGGCCGATGAAATGCACTTAGCCTTTAGGTCACTTCTGATTGGCTCGCCATAACAAACGTTTCCACAGTTGTCTACACTTTCATAATTAACGGTTGAATATTATTTTCTAGCCACAGTTTAATAACCTGAGAGTTCATGTCAGACCCAATATATTTTTAATGGGCTAACATAAACTGGCTTACTTCTTTATACTCACAACTGAGTGTTAAAATACCATCCCAGTATGGTTTTCACTTAAGCTCATATCACTTCGTTGATTAAATGCGCCTCACCAATGGATACCTAGTAATATTAATGATCAAAACATATTACTGCATTACTGTACAATTTCTCGTCGTCCTTACTTTTATATTTAGTTCGAAATACGCTCTCTATTCGGCATTAAGTGTTACACAAAAAGGTCTAGAGCTGAATTCACTAGTGAAAGGAATCAACACATATGTGACATTCTCTACAGCATTCTGTACCAGCCACGACGTGCGTAAACATTAGACAAGAAACTAAAAACGAAAAGATTTGCCTAAAATGAATAAATAAGAGCTGAAAAGGTCGATACATATCTTATTTTTCAAATAGCGCCTATCCGATGTACCTAAGGTGGAAGGTATACAGCGGGATTTCACTCGCAAAATACTTAAGAACGACTCACTCATTGAATACAGTTCCTGATGCCGTATATTAGGACAAGAAACCCTTTGGAAAGGAAGGCTTAGGTCCATTTTGATTTTCTATTTCAAACTCCACAAAATCATTACTTATTCCACATGTAATATAGCTCGCGCCCAAGACACGACCATCGAAAAAAGTTATCCACGGTCAAATTTGAGAAATACATATCGAAAACTTGGAAAAACTTCCTTCTCATCAAGTATGCATTAATATAGGACAGTCTTCCTCCCTAAATACGCATGTCAGATGAATTAAATTCGTTTGTAAGATCTAGCACAAACGAACACATCTGCGTCCCATTCAGACATTATAGGCTCTCTACATGTATAGACCAAATTGCCTTATCTTTCTACTTTGTAGTTGTATTAGATACAGGTAAATCACTAGACCTAACGACTTTCGGTCGCTAAGAGACGCTCACTATTACCGTAAAAAGTCAAAAGGACGGCATAATCGCCTGCCTACTACCAATGGTCTTGGAACTATGGAACCTGTTACCCATCAACCGATTAGGATAGAACAAAATAAAGTTAATGTGAGTTTCTTCTTGTTTATCCTTCATCAGCTTTTAAATCTTTGGTACACTAAATAGACTTGCCATTAATATTATTTCACCACTCGTTACTTTATCTATAACTCATATATTTCTGTACTTTTCCGCTCACTTTGGTAAACAACAGTCCCACAATTTACCCATCTTATAGCCTATACTCTGACTGACATCCTATACTTTATGCCATAGTCCATTAAAGCATTGCATCGATGGCTTACCCACAGTCCATAATTTGTAACTGCATGATAAGCTTGTTATATGGTACGTGTAGAAATAGTGTTATCCAACATGGTGAGAAACATAGGGCATTGTGTGAGGTATGATATATATCGAAAAATAAACTTAAATGAGCCTAACATCACACGGGGAGGGAGGACATAGTTACTGATCAGCAAGCATTGATGGTGAGGGCGATGACCCCAATCCCCCCGTGTTTGTGGGGCAGAACATTTCGTTTGTATCACACACTTTATGTTCGAGAACAAGTCAATCAGTCTGTGGTATTGCGGTTGTTCTCCTACGCTCACCATTCAGACTCATGTTTCCAATCTTATGTTGGATTAGTTATTCTACTAAGACAACCCGTAACATGCTAACTTGGACTTCTATATTAAGACTATGTGGCAGGCATCGGATGGAAAATAATAGAAAATAAAAAAAGCAGACAATGAAAGACATAGGTATTAGTCTTCTTAACTCTACTCTCTATATGCACTTTCTGATCTAATAAACAATCTTCCTTATTCCAACCCTGACTTCCTTCATTTGAACTTACTCCACCTTGGCAGATATTACAACTCATTGATCTTTATTACTGCATGCTCTAATCATATTTCATTTTAGCTACAAGGGCTAATATGAATTTGTTCTAATAATTTATCATACCTCTGTCTGTTCCACTACAAAATGTTGAGTATTGTTTATCGTTCATTTCCAAGTGCCTTGCTGCTCCTCAGTTTCTTTTTACTTTCGGAATCTTGCCCTGAGGGCACAGCTATGGAACTTCTGACATCCGGAACAACTAGACGTATGTGTTTTCCCAAGGTCATAGTTCACACCAAGCGCTCTACAAGTCTACTTTATATCAACTATAAACTTAAAAAGTTGAATTCCATAAATACTGAGCACGACCAAAATCCTAACACAATAGTGTGGAGATTGGATCTCGTGTGAAACGTGGATGCGATGCCACTTTGGAGAATATTTTGAATATTACTCATTATATCTGAAGGAACGAACTGATATTCACTTTTATAGACTATTTTATTTAACAAACATACTGTGAAACAATAAATGCTTTAATTTATAGATCATGTCTGTAAAAATGGCGTGTACCTGCCATTGCAGAAATATACATTATTATTATTCTATTAAGACCAATCGTTCCTATCCTCATTCTACACTGACGGTAGTACTTAATTATGATAATTATAAGTAATTGAATTATAGTATGAACTAAGAATCCCAGGGATAACGCAATTGAATCAAGAAGTACTACACAAGTACTAACGAATGTATTGTATTTAGAATTCGAAATCAAACATTCAACAAGTACAAAGCAATCATTAGTTTATTCAAACACCACATCCGCCACAGCTTCAATTAGAGTCTAAGTGTCTGTAATCAATTGTACGTCTTCTCCTCAAGTTCATGCTGTGTCTGTCCGACCATGTATTGGATAAAGACTCTGTATTATCTAGAATGCACTCATTAGTATTAGAATTAACAACTGAAATCGGAACAGACTCACCTGGTTCCTGGAATTGTATTTGATCAACATGTCGATTGTGTGTAATTAGGTCATTGATATCTAGAAGTCGCACCATAGATTTCCCAACATTCTTCAAAACAATCCCCGTGGATGGTCGAAGATCATTGCCACGATAATACGTAAATTCTGTCGACTCCAAACATCTCATATTCGACCAAACAGTTCTTCCTTTTAATAGTTTTGATGGAGTCTCTTTTGTCACCGGATGTCTGGCATTTCTATATTGCAATAGAAAGGTATCTACTCCCCTCTCCAGCTCATTAAATGTTGAGGCAGCAATAGAATCAATGGCAGTTTTTAACGTCCTGACAAAATTTTCTGCCTGACCATTGGAACAAGGATGTCTGGGAGCAGTAATCAGATGTTTGCACCCTATACCATTTAACCAGGTAGTGACTGCATCTGCAGCAAAATGAGAGCCGTTATCAGTTACTAACACCATTGGAACCCCTTCTCGACTAAACACCTTTCTTAATGCTTGAATTGTGAAGTCAGAATTTGGTGAAGTTGTGAAGAAAACTTCAGGCCACTTTGAAAAAGAATCAATAACCACAAGCGCATAGTATTTGCCAAGAAACGGACCACAATAGTCTGCATGAACTCTCTGCCAGGCCTCAGACGATACTGGCCATGGAGTCCACTTCGAATGTTGATTTTTCAGCTTATGACACTTTTCACAATTGTTTGCTGTACGACAAATATCTGCATTTATCTCTGGCCACCAACATGTGAGCCTCGCCAATGACTTCATTTTTTCAACACCTAAATGTCCACTATGAAGATCTTCTAGGACAGATTTACGCAATGAAGGAGGAATAACAACACGATCATTTAAACACAAAATACAATCAGGAGTAGTAGATAGCTCATCCCGCTTTGAAAAAGAGATAGGAAATCTACGTTTCAAATTAGCATTCCAACCTTTCCGTATAGCATTAATTATACATCCAAAGTATTTACGAGTTTCTCTAATGAGATCTGGACGTTTCACTGGTAAAGGTTGCACTAACAAACAGTCTGAAGTATTTACAGGTTTATCTTGTAATGACTGTCGAGAAATGTAGACAACATGTTGAATTTGTTTGGCACTCCTGTGCTGAACCGTATAGTCATAAGCACTCAAAGCAATACTCCATCGTTGAACCATAGCAGCTGAGGAACGTGCTAAGGATTCTTCAGGATGATAAATAAACTTTAAAGCCTCATGATCAGTAACAATAGTGAATTTCTTTCCAAATAAATATTTATGGAGTCTTTTAACAGCCCAAAACACAGCTAATGCTTCTCGCTGATTCTGTGAATAACCTTGTTCAGTAACAGTAAGTTTGCGTGAAACACAAATAACTGGTCTAACCTCCTGTTCCAAAACTGCGCAAATACCCACAGGTGATGCATCTGTGACAAGTACAGACTGTACACTAGGGGAGTAAGTTCGAAGAACAGCATCACTTTGAAGAAACTTTAGTAGACTACGTAAGCATGACTCTTGTTCCTCACCCCATTTAAATGAATTGGATGTCAAAATATTAAATAAACAACTTGCACGACAAGAAAAATTAGGAATAAAACGGGAATAGTATTGAAGAGCACTCACTAGTGAACGTAGTTCCGTAAGATTTTTTGGAGACGGTGCATTTGTCAGTGGAGCTAGTCGTTTCATATCTGGTCTAAAACCATTACCATCAACTAGGTATCCAAGACATTTGAAATTAGATACACAAAATGAACACTTATTTGGATTCACTGTTATTTTTTTCTCAATTAAACGACGCAATAAAGCAATAAGTCTCTGGTTAAGAACTACCTTATCAGAACCATGGACAATGAAATCATCTTGATAAACTTCAACGCCCTCAAGATCACTAACTACATTATTCATGACTTCCTGAAATATAGATGGAGAACAACTTAGACCAAATGGAAGGAAATTGTATTTGAACAGACCAAAATGAGTATTAATTGTCGTCAAAAGAGATGAAGATTGATCTAAAGGGATTTGGAGATAAGCATCTTTTAGGTCAACATTCTATAACACTTTAGAACCATGAAGTCGATTTAGAATATCTTCAGCCTCTACCGTCGTGCACGTTTGCTTCAACAAACGGGAATTCAGTATTAATCTATGGTCACCATATATTCTAGGGGTTTTGCCATCCGACTTCAGTGGCGTAACAATAGGAGTACCCCATGCTGAGGACTGGATCGGTTCAATTATGCCTTTTGCACACAAATCGTTTAATGTTTTATGTACTGCCTCTCGAAGACCATAAGGAATTATTCGTCTTTTAAGAAAGACTGGTTCACCCTGTACTTGAAGTTTTATAGTCTGAATCTTCATACCTCCACTGCACTTAGCACACGTGGCTATCAAATCTTTGAGTAAAGCATCATTATTTTCTTTAGAAACTAGGAAAGACAGCTCCACTTTAAGCCTTTTCAAATTCCTTAAGCCCAGTATTGACAGTCCTGTTTCGCTAACTAAAAATTCACAAGGTATGTATGAAGAATTTTCATCTCTTATTAGCAACTCACAACATCCTCGTATAGACAGTCTGTGTCCAGTAATCCCCAATATTGATACCTCAGTGGGTCGTACCACAACGTTAGGATCTAAAGATTTCAAGTTCTTGAATGAAATAATGGACTCTATACTGCCTGTGTCCACAATAAAGTCATGAAATGAACCAAGAGATGTATATAATCGCTTTTGAATATGAGTATCAATTTTCGAAATGGTAGACAAAGATAAATGATCATTAGGAACAGCTGAATCACTGGGATCTAAATTACAAGATTTAGTACTACTTGAGGCAAAATGAATAGTAGCTTTGCATACTGATTGAATGTGTCCTATCTTACCACATCTAAAACATTTAGCATTTCGAAATGCACATGAATTACGAGAATGAATTTTTCCACATGATAAACATTTGCCAAACTTGGTCTCACCTTTGTGATTTCCTTTGTAATTCCTTGTTGAGATATCTTTCATATTTACACGAGAATAGGAACCACTGTTAAACGAACGCAATTTTGATTGACCCTGAGGTTGTATTTCATCATGACGACTAAGCAAAGTATTAGAAATATTCATCGACTGGATATCAAGTTCATTCACTGCCTTGTAGTTAATACACGCAGTTCTAGCATCTTGAAAGGAACAGTTCGGTATTCTTAACAGCTCTCTTTCCAAACCCGTCAAGTTAATTCCTGCAATTAATCGATCTCTCAGTTGCACATGAAGTTGATCACCAAAATTACATTTGGCAGCTTGTTTCTGCAATTCAAGAATGAATTCCTTAACCTTTTGGTCATTTCGACGAGTCATCTTATGAAATTTTGCCCTTTCGCGGCATTCAAAACTAGTGCACTTTACATGATTTAATAATAACTCCTTAAGAGTTGCATAAGCAAGTGAGATAGGTTTTTCTGGATATGCCAAAGTTTTCAATAAGCTGTATGCTTCTTTTCCAATGAATGTGAGAAAATGTGCCACAATTTTATCACCTTTAACATCCTTCTTGTTCATGCTCCAAATTTCAAACCTTTCCAAATAATCCTCAAAAGCTTCAGAAGTTGAATGAATATTTAACTGTTCCATCGCAGGCTCCATCGCGACGTCAATAGGATAATTAAGAGTAATTGAATTATAGTATGAACTAAGAATCCCAGGGATAACGCAATTGAATCAAGAAGTACTACACAAGCACTAACGAATGAACTGTATTTAGAATTCGAAATCAAACATTCAACAAGTACAAATGAGTCATTAGTTCATTCAAACACCACATTTATCCTACCTCATATATTTTTGGGTGCGTGTCGTATGCAGTAATCCGGATTCTGTATAGCTTATGGCAAAGCGTGTATCATTCATCCATTTTTATGGAAAAATCTAAGACACGATTGTAGAATAATGTACGGTCCTAATTATAAAGTCTATAAAAATGAGTTATGCCAAAATACGTCAACCAATGGTGCTATTATTTTGAATATCATACAGGGTTATTCAGCAGAAGGTTTGCTGTCATGTCTCAATTAATCGGACGGATTTGAAAAAGTATAGAGTAACTGCTTGACAAGAAAGAACTTAGTCCCCATCAGACATTTGACGTAATTCCATCAACCTATAATCGGACAATTCAATCACTGGTGTGGAGACAGTCATACAAGCTTTGTGCAGTCAGGCTATACAAGTATCAAATAATGAGATTTTTGGATAATATAAACCAGTCACGTGTCTGGGAAGAAAGACATCTCCAGAGGTCCAGGGAATTAATTCTGTTAAGCTGTAGGTTAGCACAATAAATTTAAGTAAAAATAATTCCAGAAAGAATATGACAGTCACCAAGTTTACAGGCCAAATAAAACAAGGGTAACACAGTCTGTGAGAACCCAGTAAACAAGGTGATATACAAGAAGTACTAAAATTTTTTGGCAAAGCGAATATCAACAGTCCTATCAGGAACAAATGACAAACTGCATATACAAATGGAAGAACCGAAAGTAAAATGGTTGCATTTAATCTTAAGGCAAAATTTTATTGATATATGAAGTGAACATGGTGTGTGGATTTTACTTATATGTGCGCACATCTACATAAAAACAACCATAATGGATCCTGCAGAATTATGCAAGCAAGTCTGTTGCGTGACAAACACTAAGTAGTTTACATATTTCTATCATGAAGTGCTTCCACTCGGTCTTAATTTCAGTAACCTCCATATATATATATATATATATATATATATATATATATATATAAAGTTACTCGGCCAGAATGGCGGAGATTCACCACGAACAAAGGAGATGTAATGGTGTAGATAACATAGCTTAAGCAGTAAATGATGTAGATGTTTATCGTATGTAACACCTCCCTTTCTTTTGGGACTTATTTTGCTCACCTTTGGAATATCTAACGGTAAATCCTAGAACTTTGTAACTGCTACCAGAAGGAATTGTGACGAATTCGGCGAAATAACTTGGATTTTCTTCAAATTCACCCTGATTATCTAGTCTGAACACAGGAGGCAGTTCAACAAAACCTGTTTGTTCGATTATGCCGAAGTACTGCGTTCTTCCATGAAGAATAACAAGATTCTTAGGGTAACTCGCAGTCAGCGATTACATCAAAACATAAATTTTTGTGGTCAATTAGGGCTGCATGATTATATTCCAGTAATTATACTTGTCCAAAAATCGAAATTGTTTCACCAACACTGCTTAGCCACTTTACAGTCGAAATTTTCTTTGGTATAAATGAATGTTATAGACAGCAATAAATGGTTATGAAACAAAACTCCTAATTTTCTGAAAATCAGAAAGAGTATTCCCATTTAAAACAGGTCTGATTTCTGTTCACAAGAATCAAAAATTGTTTTCAGGAGATAGCTAAATAGCAAGGTCAAAAAACGCTCCACACAGTAACCTTATATTTGGTTCAACAAGGCCTCGATCTTGTACGTATAAACAGCACTTGGCAAGAAATTGAGGGCTTTGAACCTTTTGTATTTTGCGCGACAGCTTCATCCACCATTTTGGGACATTATGAGAGCTGTGAGGGTGATTTATCATCTGATGCCATGCCTTGGTACTAACATTGAATGCTTCGATTCGCTATCTGCTGGCGAACAATATGATAGGTATGCTATTCCTCCATGAAGATTGTCTACTCTTCTTCTCGTCATATACTTTTCTTGCACCGTTTTTCAGCTTCGTTGAGATATGCCACCGAAAACAGGTATAGAACGGGTGGTTTCGTCCTGCACCATCAACAAAGACTCAGATATTTCAGAGGGGTATAAGGTTATGGTTTCTAAAAGCCTCCAACTTAACATGGATCTGTTCGCGAACATCAGTTGCACGTCGCAATGCAACCTTCAAAAAGCGCGCCAACTGTGATAATAAAAATGTAAGATCTAAAATGAGGTTTGGACTGAAGAATAGCTGTCTAGGTGTGTTAGATACGCGCCTTTGCCCATCTACATTCATATCTTATTATATATTAACCCATCAGATTAATTAACTACAGTGAAAATTGTATCTTTTGTAATAATTTGATCTTGCCTGTAAACTGGCATACCTCATGTAACAAACTGCTATTTGAGAATAAATTATTATTGTTATTATTATTGATAGGGAAACTGAATATTAACACAAAAATATTCATGGTCTGGTTAAGAATAATAATACTCATTTTTCATATGACAAGCTCAAAATATGCAAAAATAAATCGTGAATCAATGGAGAAAGCTCACTAATTTTGGACTATCAACTTGGTATGCACCAATTGAGTGACAGAACTGAATTAAGTGATTTCCCTGTCAGGACAGTTTTTATTATTAAATGCGGCTACCATTAAGAGGAGAAATATCGATCTTTGTGAGACACAAGTCGACTCTTCATGATTAATCAGTGAAAAGTGGGAACTATTATATATGGACAGTTCTATTCTCACAACAGGTTACCGGTTCACTTTTATATTTAGAAGTCTAAATTAATTCGCCGCATGATTACTGCGGTATCGAGTTCGGAGATATACAGCTCACTGGTTCCAACTGCGAATGTTTATATGAGCAGGTTTACCAAGAATTTACTGCTCGTGATATAAATAAAAAAACCAATATTTTAAGCAGACATGAATTATAGCTAGCTAAGGAGTTCAGCACGCCCGTTTCTTTCTATTTGAAACTCGTCGGGTGAGTGTACCTGGAGTTCAGAGCAGATATTGACTCCGGGACCTAAATCCAGCTTCTCAAAAAATTCGGCGTTTCTAGATAAGACTATTTAACTCCATGGCGTCTAATTAACGATAATCCTTGTTCTTGTGAAAACATGGGTAACATTTCATTGAGGAGTTGCAAGCAAGTTACATAGGCGATCACAGGCTTGTTAAATGTTCTTCCTGTGGTAGATTTTACCTACGTACTTCATGTTAATTGCTCTAAATGTGGTAAAATGAGACAGTCAGTTGGTAGAACCTCTGTTCATTTCGACTCAAGTAACACTAGACTCAGTAACTCGGATCCTATTAATTTAGGTGATTAATCATCAAATACCATCCGTATTTACAACTTTGAATAGTTCATTTCACATTTAAAAGCGGTTACATTTGTATAATGGCGCTTTCCATGATTTTATTGTTGACGTCAGCAGTATCGAGTTCATCACTTGTAAATTCCTCACCACTGATTTTGGACCATCTAGACTGGGTCTAGAAAATTCAGGTCTGCTCCGAGCACAAACTTTTTTCTTGACCACTGAAGACAATTCTAATAGTGTTTGATAACCTATTAACTACGGAACCGAAGTGAGAAAAATTACGCACGAATAAAAAGCTCTTTCATTCTCACGCACAAGTAGAAAATTTCAAAACCTGGAAAAAATACCAGTTTTACTACTGCTGAAAAATTCAAAAACCCGGAGAGAAGAGTAGACGAATTATTCCAATGCAGAATTACCGGACCGTACGCAACAGAAACAACAATGAAATAGCCCTAAAGTATTCATTCCAAATAAGGGACATTTACAGTTTGCCGACGTCACATGCTATCGACGACCTGATTTTCCGCAATCTACGGAAGTTCCACTAAAAAAGGTTGATAAGTCTGTTGCTCACTTGCGAAATATTCACAACAACCGAGTACGTTGTAAGGACTCAGGTGAGTCTGTTCCAGGTTCCCTTGTTAATTTGAGTGCAAATAAGTACTTTCTGGATGATAGAGAGTTTCTACCCAAAACAAAGCCGGCTAGACACATGATAAAGCCAAGGAGCAGATGCACAAAGATTACGGGAATCTGGATCGCTTTTTGAGCTGTGACGGTCGTGACATTTATATTAAATGATAAGTCTTTAGTACGTAACTGCTTGCCTATTACGAATTCCATAGATATAATAGGTTTACCTGCCCTGAATTGTAATAATTCGGAATTCTTAGTTCGTAAATCGATTCGAATACTTTCACTTGTTTCCTATGCTTCATCAGTTTGCGTATTCATATCTGCATTCAGTCCTACTTATCTCTCATTAGTGCTGCATGGGTGCGTAAAGTTTT